CCCCAAAACCCCAAAACCCCTTTAAGCGAATGCTTGAAAATATTGAATGGAAAATAATAAATCATACATCTAAAATAATATCATGATCATCATCTATAACTACACCTTTTGAAGTTAAATGTCTTTAAGATTCATTAATATTTTAACTGGACTATTAAAACTTATATCCTTCAGCAACAGGCTAGCTTTCAATTTTACCTTGATTGAAATCAAAAGCAGAGTAATCAATAAAATTTGCATCCATGTCTTTATTTTCATTATTTATTTATGTTTTCTTCAGAAAGCGTTTAGCCATTCTCATATCAATTTTGTCTAATATCTTGAATTTCTATATATTATTTTGAATCATTTAACTCTAAGACATTGATTAGTTTTTAATATGAGATTAGATTGCTAAGGGATTCTTAGATTTGACATCTATTTTTAATATTTTTTTAATTGAACCAAAAATGTTTCTTTGCTATTAATTCAATAAAATTATCTCTAATTCTTTTAATTTAGACATTACTCTGATCAAGTTTTCTATATCAAACTTCTCATCAAGTTTCTTAATTCCTTTTTAAAACAAGCTTTCTTTCATTCTTATTCTTTAAAGTGCTCTTCTAGTAATTAGACAGCAAATTATCCTGCTAATGAGATATTAAAGCTTATCAAGAATCGAATATTTGAATTCCTTAAGTCCAAGGAATCCTTGCAGGATAATTTTTTAATACTATAGAATTTTATTTTTTTATTCGGGTTAATTATTAAAGATGTCCTGCTTTTTTATGGTTTAGTGACTATTCTCAAGGGTATTATCTGTTTTTACATTTTAATTCTGTTCAATGGAATATTTCTTAAGTTTTTTATTCGATTATTTAACATACTCTTGCTTAAATAGTCTGTCATTATAGGCGAAAATTTTTCTAATTATATGAGAATTGAATAGGAAATCCTAAATGTAGCATACAAAGAAACTAATTATTGAAAATATTATACTCATCAATCCTCCCACTTAAGAAATCGCATCAATAATTGTGTCAGTTATCCTTTCTACACTCTCTACATTCTCATCCAATAGAAATCTGATTCTAGCAAGAGTAGTTGTCTGCAAGGATGATACTGAAGTTGATTCTAATCTTGATTTGTAATAATTTTGTTTTTTTCCTTCAAAAAATGAATCAGTTAGTGTATCACTTACATAGGCCTCATTCTCACTTAATTTATAATCATAGTTCTGTGTAAAATTAGGTATCAAATCTAAAGTAGAAATCTTTATTGTGTCCTTAATTGGAGAATCACGAAATTCATCAACATCAAAGTATTGTTATTTTTGGGCAATCACAACTATCATATTTTTAAGTATGGAATCTGTCTATGTCTTTGATTTACATTTTTTACCTTGGAACCTCTTATTGAGAGTTGTTTAATCACAATAAATAATATCTGCACTGATGAATTTTTCTACTAATGTTGCAGTATTTCCTGCCAATTAAAATTTGAAATTCTAAGGGCATTGCATTCCTACTTGATTGGCATTTAATGTATTGAGGTTCTAATCTTGACACTTGCCTAATTCAAAGAATGTTTAGTTCTGAGAATATTTATAATCTTAACCTTTATATATTACTGTCTAACTGATCTGTAAAGATACAAAAGTATCAACATCTATATAGTTAATTGAATAATTTTTACCCGTATTAAAAGTGCCATTTTAATTTCGATAGATTATAAACACACCAAAGTCAAATTCTTTCGAGGAAATATTGTACTCAACATTTTCCAATAAAAGATTTTGAAATTTCTAAGAAGTCTTAAAGTTTACTGCATCATTTGATTAGATTTTTTACATCAATGTGCAAAAGTACATGAACAATATTCCCTAATAGAAAAAAGATATGAGTCCTCCAAATAGACTTTTAAATGAAGTCTCATCTTGATATTTGAGTTCAAATTTTTAGCCGAATATATCTAACTTCTAGATATAATTTAGAAAATTAACCATTGCAATTATATATAAGTTTCATTTATTCTTTATTTATCCTAATTGATGTTAATTTACTTTAAGGGGTTTTGGGGTTTTGGGGTTTTGGGG